CTGAGTGAGGTGATGGGAGCTCTAATAGTTTATACGGTAACTTCTGTATGAAAAAGCACATAAAAATAGTCAAAGGGAAGAAAGCAAATTTCAAAGAGTTGTTTTTGGTGTTTCTTTTTTCATTTTACTCTGAAGATGAAAATTGTCCCATATGGCTGAACTACTCACATCTTCCCCCACTAGAAAGCAGATCCTTGTGGAGTGAAAACTGGCTTCAGAACCTGAAGTATGAAATTCAATTTTTTATACATATTTCAGATCTCAGGTTTTGCATATCTTTGTAGCAGAAATAGTCATTTGACTGAATTTCTCATCAGAAAGTAGAGCTTTAGCAACCCAAAGTCATCCACTGCAAATGACAACTTTCTGCAAAAAAGCCTCACCAGATTCAATAATTCTTATGCACAGTTATCACTATTACTAACCAGTTTTAATCATTTACCTCTCACCGATGTCTGTATTTTTATTTCTAAAGCCCACTATAAACATACGAACGAATGAAGCGTGGAATCTGATTTGAGAAGCAAAATGTAAACAATGCTCAAAAAATATACAGTTTCAGAGATTATTTTCTTCCCCGTAACTCCCAACCACCCAACTGTGGAGTCCAAAATGACTCGGGTCATCCAGACATAGGACTGTATGGTCTTGTAGTGGGACATACAAAAACCCAGGAAATCGTACAATGAAACCTATAGAGCTGTAGATATTCAGATTTACCCAGAACAAAACCTACATCACTTTAGTTTAATTCCAAAGGTTTATTTTGCAATCATTGTGCATGGACATAGTTGATCGCACACACATAACCCACTTGTGGTACTCATACAAACACCATCTCACAGTACCTCATCCCAGTGTCACAGACAAGAGAAGAGAATGTGGCACCACACAACACTTACTGACAAACACATGGGCTGTAGACAATTTTATAAATTCAACAAGAAAACCAAATGATAAATTGCTGATATTTTCCACTTTGTCCTCTCATTGCTCGAGAAGCTCTAGCAGCATAACAATGGAAAAAAACCATTACGGAACAACTTCAAGAATAACACAAAACTCTTGTTAGGGTCAGAGATGAGAAAGTTAATGCAGTACCGGCACATCTGAAGTTTCCTCAGAAACTTCCACAAACCAAGGCAGAGGAGACAGCAGCCACTTTCCCTGGCCAGTGAGCAAAGCACCTGCACATACATGTCTGGAGACTGGAATTGCTTTTAACCCGTACCATGGGCTGGAGCAAACCGCTGGCAAGATGTGCTACCAGTCCCATGGCGTACTCAGCATGTAGCAGCTCTCTTTGCAGTTGCACAGAAAGTGCTTATCTGGAGTGTGCCTATCTCAGGTAGGGCAAGAGATGGGCAAACGGGGTTGCAGAAGAGGAAAACACAACCCCCTGTTGCTAAATCTGTACAAGACCCTGAGCTGTGATAGGAAATTCTATCGAACCATCTCTTCACCAACACATTCAGAGCTGGGCTCCAAATGCAACTGTAAGCAACTGTAAGACGATTTTATCTTGCTGCAGAAGTCCAATACAACTGCCGTATCAGGCCAACAGGATACTTTACTGAAGATATCCAATGCCAACATTATCAACACGTAATGCCTGTAATGTACATTAATGAAAAGCACCAAGTGCTAAATTCTCCTAATTCTAATAATAACGGTTTCCAATCCTGCCACCTTGACACAGATCAGATCACATCATACCATGTTAGTAGCCCTAACTGCAATGTAAGGTAACTCTCAATCGGAATTAGAGGGTCTGAACTTGCCAGTCTTGCTCTGCAGGCAGAAGAGGAAGAATTTCTTCCTGAAATTGTCTGGAGGGGTGGCATTCAAGCTCATTTTTTACATAGCGATTCACTTAGCAAGCCTCATGTAACACATGGAATAGGCAGCTAAAGCCATGGAAAGATGATTTTTACATAGTGGTTATTTTACAATAATTTTACAAGTGGTTATTAGAATACATCTTTCTTCAGTCTTCTCCATAGTATTTGATTAGCTTCTATATATGGTTATCAGTTGGTATAATCTCTCTGTTTCTTAACAGTAGCACCAATATCATAAATCTGATTTTTCATTCTTAATTCTCTTCCTCATATATGTTTTCATTTTCTTACTTGTTGCTGTACCTCTATCCCAGTAAAATAGCATAAATCCTGGCATAAAGGCTCAGACCAATTTTTCTTCTATTACCCAGTAGTGAAATTGCCCTATTAGGTCAGCTTACAATGTGTGCAGTAAATATGCCATGTATAAATAAATCACAGTATAAAACCATATACATCATCTAGTACTAACAGCTGAACATTAGGATCTCCGATTTTGATTTACAGTATAATTTACAGTGTAAAACAAAACAATAAACAGCTTATCACTTGAGGAAATCTGAAAAAACCAACTATTGGAAAGCAATTCTCCATTGTATATGTATATGAATATACATATTCATATATTTCTATATTTGGAATATATTCATATACATATTCATATATATTCATATATATGAATATATATGGATTTTTTTTCCCCAAAAGACCCCCAAATTTATGAACTTCTGGATTAGTACATATAACTTGTGGAAGCAGCTGGCTCTACCTAAATGCTTCACTTGCTTCTCGTGCCTTACTCCTAACTGAGAGCAGCTCTAAGACTTACTGACTTTTCATATAAAACAGCTAACTACTTAATTTAAAAGTGCTTATTACCCCCTCAGCATCCAGGTACCTCGAAGGATCAACAAAAAGTATTATTAAAATTAGAAACTGGAAAGATTATGTTCATAAAGAAAAATCCCACGTGGAAGGGAATGGATCACTTAACTCCCAACAGCCTGCTGAGTCTTTCTATCACAAAATTAAGCAGACTCTGAGGACAGTTTTACAAAGCATTAAATAGCTTAGAAACTTATTAATGTGAACTAGGTCTGGAGCTTCAGAATCTAATGCCCAAATGAAAATTAGTGTTTAAATAAGAAATAGGCAGCCAAATTCCTTTGGAGATCTGTGTGTTAAGAAATGACATTTATTGGGTCTCAGGGAAATTTTGGCTCCTAAGACTTGTTTTAAAAGGAACTTGAAAAGAAAAGCAAAAAAACAATCCAAAAACCCCAACCCTTGGAAAACTTGGTGTTTGATTTTTTTTTAATGCTACACACTACATGTACCACCAGAATTCTCTCACTTCACCATGAGGCTTAGTTTTCTTTTTATATTACAGCTTCTATAGCTATTCTTAAAAAATAAAATTAAAAAATTATATATATATATGCACAGAAATGCAGTGCCAGCATACCCAGAAACTAGAGGCAACTCTATTAGTAGTCGATCAGGATTTGCAGGAGAGACAAGGAAACCCATCAGGACCCAGAGCTCCCCATTTATGAGAAGCTGGGAGACACTGAGATGAAGCAACTGAAAGTCAAAATAGCTGGAAAAGGAATGGGAGGTCGGGGGAGTGTCACGAGTCTTCTTTCAAATCCTCAATTCTCACCTGCAACTTTAATGACGTATTGGGAAACATGGAGAAATGCGAGCCGCTACCATTTCAGGTTTGCTTGCATCGATTCTTAGCAGACCTCTGCTGGGATCTCTTCCCTTTTCCCTGCCTCCTCCTCTTCCTCTTCCTCCTCCTCCTCTTCCTCCCCGCGACTGCACACACACCTCCCCGTGAGCACACAGGGGTGCTCAGCCAGCTGCTGCTCACAACCCCTGCTCCCCACCGCCACTTTGCTTCTCTGAGTGTATATTCCCCACCCCACTCACCACAGCACCAATTTCACAGGTGCCCAAGAAAACTCCGGCTCTTATTTATTTAACCAGCTGCTGCTACTCCCGCCTCTCATTTCCTCAACCATCACCCTAGCTGCTAACAAATTCACCCGTACTCACTTAAAACATACTCAAGGGGGAAGCAGTTCATGCTGTCACATAAAAAATACAAGTTGCGCGTTGCTATAAACATACTGAATGAAAAGAGCATGTTTTCCCCCGTCCCCCGAAACAGCATCCTGGGTTTACACAATCCCTTTTTTGGTTTCCCCATTGTCCACCGAAGATGTGAAGTTTGATTCTTGTTCTGCACTCGATTTCCTCTCCCCTGGGTAGTGGTTCATTTCTTGCATTTCTAAAGATACTTTATTCCTTTTGGCAAATGCCTGGCTGATCTCATTCAATGTCTTATTTTTTGTTTCAGGCAGGACAAAAAACAGGTAGGTAGCTCCCGCAAAGCAGATGGCAGCAAACACTAGGAAGCAGTATGTCTGTAAACCACCCTGTGAATAGAAAACAAAGGAGAAGGTCATTATAAAAGAGACAAAAGTCAGAAGAAAAGCAACATCAGGAATGGTTTGAAAGAAAAAACGGGTGGTATGGAGCAATTTTTAATCAAGTACAGTAAGCGCTGGCATTCATTGCAAGTCAGAGTGCTTAGTTGTTCATAAAAATGCATGAATCGTTAGTTCTTCCAGCACTGCCTGTGGCCCATCGATGGAAAAGCAGGCTCCTGGCAGAGGCGCGCAGATCTGCAATCTGGGCGACGCTGGGAGACACCAGACTGAGTTCAGGCACCGCGGGTGTGAGGAGAGCAGGTGGCAGCAGGGCTCCTGCTACGTGCACGGCTGAACTGAGCCTTGCACGGCCGCGGTATTTCTGGAAATGAGGCAGATGTTTCACCGGCTTCTTCTGCATACTGCCTCGCAATTTCTAGGTACAAAAAATGAGGCCTGCTTTTGCAATGCCGTGCACCAGTACACAACACATGGGAAACCTGCCATAGCCAGGGGCATCTGCATCACAGTAATTACAAGCTTTGAGATTTGCAAAATAAACAAGGAAAAAACACCAAATGGCAGACATTTGTATCATTTCTAAGGTTATGGGAGCTTATAGCAGGAAAAAATCCATTAAATGCACTTCTTTCATGCTAGAAACTAGTGTAAGAATGAACTGAAAATGAAGTACAGGACATATTTGAATGTTTTGGATTTTACTTCACTGCAAAAAAAAAAGAGTATAGACACAAAGAAATTAATTTATAAACTGATTATAAAGGCTCCAACCAACTAGTAGGAGTTGCACTTCACTGAAACATAAGTATTTCTTGCCTGATATTATTAGATCATTTAATAGCTTTCAGTTACGTTTTCAATAGTACAGTTTTGAAAAACATTTGATAATTATGATATTGCCAGCTGCGCTTTGTTGAACTAGGAAGAGGTTTGGTATCCTGGCTCCAGTGCAACCTGCTAGCCCTTGAGGAAACCTCCCTTCACCTCAGAGTGATTTACCTCACTCTGTGTCCTGAAAACAAATGTCCAACGAACACGTATTTGTGACTTGTTTTTATTAACAAGGCTGAATTAAACCAAAAGGGTTACCTCCAGCTCCAAAAATAAGGCGACCTTTCCGTGGTGCCTTGTGTGAGGTCATCAACAGTGAATACAAGGAGAGCCGGACCCCTCACACGTCACCCCAGGTGTTGCAAGGCAGAGGTTACCCCAGGGAAAATCACTCAGGATGGAGGAAGCAGACGTGGCTTCCTATATGTACATATTTACAATTGCCATTAAAGGTATGTATCTGAAACAATTAAGATAGAGCTAGACGATGTAACCCTGACTTTCCACGTTTTTCTAATACACTCCCATCATTGTTAATTATACCAGTCCTACACTGCAGGCTGGTTAAGCTCCCTGCTTCGGGGGCTCAGCATGTACGCAATTCCTAGGACTATTTTTGTGTTTCACTTGCTCAGTATACATCATATATGGGGTGGAAGAAGAACGTGAATTCCTGTGTGGAACGAGACAGAAAAAAAGAAAAAAACCTTTTCTGCAGCTGCTTTTTAATACCATGGCTGATTGACAACCTGCCTAGTCACAATGTTTTCCGTGGATAATTCATTACCTAGTTCAGCCCTTCAACTCCTGTCTGTAATAGGAAAAGCTGGAAAGTGCATCCTCTGATATTGGCTATGGACTCCTGAGATCATCAATGCTTTTTTTGTTAAATCCTAGAAGCATGAACTCCTGAGCAACCTGACAATCACAAGCCAAAGAGTATGGGTGATGAGGGGGGAAAATATTCTGGCATGGGAACAGATATGACTTTCAAGCTTATACAGAGGCAGAAGCAAATGGATTTAGTAGACAGGAAAAAAATAACTTCACAGTGCCTCAGAAATCATCCTGTCATGTTAAGAATTCAAATTTTGCATCTGGATCTTCTGCATTTGAAATTTGAATTGAACAAAAAAACCTCGTTCAGCCGAATGGTAGAGCTCCAATCTGGAATCATGTTTTTCCCTTTTTAAAATCTTCATTGAACTAAATCTTCTCTGTGATGAAAATGAACCATTAATGCCTAGTATGAATAAGCCTGGCAATCAGATGCCACAAGTTACCTGCATCTTTTGGTGGTGCATCCACAACTTTGTCCGACCTTTCTTATTCCCATTTATTTCTTTGCTGTCCATGATCTAAATTAGCGTTTATTATCATCTTTGATTCATGTCTCCTTAAACCTTTTCTAATTGAACTGAACACTCTCATGAGTGCATATTTTATTTGCAACTATTTTACATAATGTATTTACATTTATTGGTAATAAACTTGCTCTCCTTAATTTCTGCAGATCCCTTTAGAAGTAGCCCCCAAGGACCTCCAACTGAAGTTCCACAGAGAATAAGATAAAAATTAAATTTTGTTATAAATCCTACAAATGGGGTTGTGGGAAGAGACCAAGACTTTGCACT